GGTCAGGGCCGAGATGGAGAGTATTCCCGAGGCTGTGCGCAGCCGGCATGTGCGACGGCCGATGTCTGCCATCATTTCTTACATGCTGGGCCTTGGGTGGATCCCGAGGACCCCTGCGTCATGGGAGCCACCTGGAGATTTCAAATGGGAGTTTCCCGATGAGAATTTCACTGGCATTCCCGCGCTGGATAATTTCAAGGAGTTCATTGATGAGGTAAAGGTAGCTGCGATGGTTCCCTTCTGGCGCCAGGCAGAGTTGCACCGCGACGGGGACGGCCTAGGGCAAGGCATTGACGGGTGCTCTCTCCGACGGCTACTCAAGCAGCTTCGAGGTGTGCGACTTGGTGGGCCTCGTCTTGCAGGCCTGCTTTTGAACGTCGCGATCGGAGCTGCCTGGCCCAAGGCTAGGAAGATGGATCATCTGAAGTCCCCACTGCGCGTGTGTCCAGTGTCTTCCAATGCTGGCCACTCGGGCTCTGGCTCAGGCGATCCGGCGAGCTCCGATGTTCCTCAGCAGTCGACGGCGCCAAGAGCGCAACCCGTGCTGACCAATATGAGCGACGACCACGACCCGTTTGCCGATGTCGAGGTGAGTGCTGACGAGGGCCAGGCGTACCAGACTGGACCTACGAGTGCAGCGCGACGGGGTCCACAATTGGGCAGTCAACTTAATGTGAATTGCGACCGATGTGGTGAAGCTGTTGAGACATCTTATCACAGATACTGGAGTTGTTCTCACAACAGGGGTGCAGTTGCTTATCTTAGGGGTGCAGTTGCTTATCTTAACAGTGAGTGCCTCGAAGGGCAGGCCAGAACGCAGCATGAGATGCACGTTTGTTTCTGGCGCAGAGGACTCATGCCCGCGGCGTGGACCAGGACTCTTGACCCTCCGCAGGAACACTCTTGGATTTGTGGTGGTCTGAACGATGGTGTGTTTGAAGGGTGTCTACCCATGGGCACCGAGACCGACCCCACGGTCATCTTCGGAGATGCAAGTGGTGGCCCAGACACTACAGATAGCAGATTACGACGCGTTGCTTTAGGAGTCGCCACTGTTGCCAATTATGTCGACCCGCAGGTGGGGTGTTTCATTACTGGGCCGTTGACGGGGCACCGCCAAGTGGTTGCTCGGGGCGAACTTCGGGGGCTATGGCTTGCCACCTGGGCCAGTCAGGGGCCCATTATGTACGTGACGGATTGTGAGAATGTGTACAAAGGATGGGTATCTAAGGCACATGTGCACCACAAAGGTGAAGATGGTGATGAATGGGCCCGCATAGGGCAACTACTTGAGCATCGGTCTCCAGACTTGATTCAGGTCAGATTCGTGAACTCACATCTTAGTGCTGAGGATGTCATGAGTCACCGTGCTGAGTCGTGGCTAGTCGTGGGCAATACCATCATCGACGAGCTGGTGAAGGACGCGGCCATTGCTGCACGGCTCCCAGTGGCTGTGCGACCTGAAGTGCTGCAAGTCGAGCGACGAGCTCACCTTGTACGACGTAGGCTCTTGCGAGCCTCACTGGACGTCTTGGCAGTTGAGGCCGAGATGGGGATGAAGAGAAAGGCGGGACCTCCACCTCCTCCTCCCCCTCCTCCGCCCGCCCCGTCTGTAGTTGCCACAATGGTTTCCCAGCATCAGCTTGATGATTCTGGCTTGCGCTGTTCCAGGTGTTTTAGCTCGGCTACCCAGGCTCGGGCCACTGAATGGAAACGAACCCCCTGCTTTAAGCCTCTGAACATAAACGGGGATTATTGTAGGCTCCCATTTAAGCAGAAGCTTCATCTAGCGGGGGGCTGGGCGCATGAAACACATCAGCTGAAATTGTGCACGCGTTTAAATTTGTGGTTCTGGGGAGTGTGTGGATCCTTCTCAACCAAGCGTAAGTCCGCCATCCAGGAACCATGTTCGTTGAAGGCCACGCCCACGGGGGCAGAGCATTTGAGGAGGATTCACTCGGGACAGTGGCCGAAGATCTTGAGCAAGGCCGAGAAGGCCAGCCGACTGGCCAACCCGAGGAGGAAGCCCCTCTCCCCCATTTAAGGCCATTTTCCTCTCACTTAGTGAACTGACATTATCATTTTCGTTCCCCCCCTCTCTCTTGGACGCCCCCCTCTTGGCCGCCCCCGAAATGGGGGGGGGGATGGGAATGCTTGCCTAGCGGCACAGTGGGCGCGCGCTCGCATCCCACCTCGTGTTCAGGCGCGCGTTCGCATCCCACCTCTCTTCAGGGCCAGGGGGGCGAACAGCAGAAGAAGTGTTTGGAACCCTCGAACCTCGAACCTCCTCGAACTTATCCCCGATCCCCAGGGCGGGGGGGGGGGGGGGAAAACATAATAGAGAGACGGCCCGGGACCTCGATCCCCGACCCCGTCGAACCTCGAACGTCTTCCCCGCAGCCCTGGGGCGGGGGAGGAGAAGATGCATGGACACTTTGTTCGAACGATGTGGCCCAAGATGCCCCCTCCAGACCCCCCGAAAAGGAGGGAGCGTGAGTGGACAGCAATATTCGAACCCCCAAAGCGCGACCTCAAGAGCCTCACGCTGAGATCAACAAGGATCCCGGGGGCGGACGCGGGGATGATCAGACATCTCCTCGAACATGCGAGGGTTCGAACAGTTTGTCCATCTACAGGAGGGTGGGAGGTTGATAGACCTCCTACCCTGACACGTAGATTAGCGAATCGGCCATTTTCGGTTCGCGAGAGGGCGTCGCGGCCGCCATTTTTGCGGGTCCAGGTCCGTCGGTTTCGGTCTTAGGCCATTTTCACTGAAGGGTGGCGCCAGGGGGGGGGGGCGCAACAGGGCGGAGGGAAGCGCAACGAACGGCACAATTGGGCGGGGGGGAGGGAGGGCGCAACTGGGGGAGGGGAGGGCGTATGCCATTCTGCCCTCGGGGGCGCACTGGGCACGCTCCCTGCGAGCGTTCTGGGGGTGCTTTCCGGGCGGTGCGGGCGGGGGGGGCCCTGCTGGGCGGGCCGGGCGGTCGGGCCTCCAGGGCAGAGCAGGCGTGCGGCCTCCGGAGCCTGCGGACCTGGGCGGGCGGGGGAACGGGCCGGGCGGGCGGGGCTGCGCCGCGACGCCTCGCAGGCTGGCGGGAGGTTTCGGGCCGAGCGAAAGGGGGGGGGATCGGGAAAGGGGGGGGGTACGACATCTGCTGCGTGCAGCTGGTTCTGGCCCCGCCGCAGGGCCCATTCCTCGAGATACATTGGCGCCTCCCGGCGCCGGGAGGCGCTGGGAAAATCAGCTATACGTGAGTTGATTCTCCCCCCCCCTGCCATCCCCCCTTTTCGCCCGGCCCGAAAGTCTCAGGCCAGATCACAAGTCCGGAGTAAAGCGTGAGGAAATCCTGCGCGTGAGTTCGATTTCTGGGCGTCGAGACCGCTGCAGCGCCTAAATCGGTTGCCAGGGAGTCCTTGGCGAGAGCACGATGCCCGAGTAAAGTGAGGGGAAGTCCTGCGCGAGAGTTCGGTTCCTGGGCGTCGAGATCGCCGCGCCGGAATGCATTGAGGAGGAGGTGCCAGGCGAGAGCGCGATTTCTGAGTAAGCTGTATGGAAGGCTCACGCAGGACTCGAGAGCGCAATTCTCGCATCGGTTGCCGAGAAGTCGCAGGCTGGAGCCGTTGTTGTGTCCAGGGGCCCAGGGGCAACACAGCCGAACTAACCCTAACCCTCAGGGTTGGCAGGAAACAACGGGCGTGAGCGCCAGGGCCCCACGTTCGATCGAAAAAAACTGGTGCCGGCTGGTGATGGGGCCCGACCTCGGTGACACGGGAGCCCGGCCCGCGCGGCGTGGGCGACCCTTGCTTTTTGGCGACGCGACTGTCTCGGAGTGATGCTCCCGCTTGCGCGTGGGCCACAGCTCTGATCGAACATGTTGCTTTAGCCTAGGCGCCCGCCGCGTCCTTCATTGAGCGTGTTGTTCTCGCTTGTGCGTGGGCCACAGCTCAGATTGAAGATGCTGTGGTCGCTTGGGCGCCGGCGGCGTCCTGAGATTTGGCGCAGAGCAGCGAGAAGCACGGGCACGCGCACACGCAGCAATGCCACCTGCAGCCCTCGATCCCCCGATCTCCCCTCGATCCTCGAGCCTCACGCAAAAAGGCCACCACGGGTCGAGATTCTGGGATACCTCCTCCTCCTCCTCCTCCTCCTCCTCCTCCCTCCTCCCTCCTCCCTCTCCCTCCTCCCTCCTCCCTCCTCCCTCCTCCTCCTCCTCCTCCTTCTCCTCCCCCTCCTCCTCCTCCTCCTCCTCCTCCTCCTCCTCCTCCTCCTCGATCCTCGAGCCTCTGCCCCCCCCCCTGGGCCAGGGCCGGCCGCTGGCGATCCGCTTCGATGCGGTTCCAAGCGCCGTCCGGGCCGGCGAGTCCGATCCGATGCGACGCGGCTCGGCTCACCGGCGTCGGCTGGCAGGCCAGCTGCAACTGGGGGAGCTGTGGTCCTTACCCCCCTGGGGGACCGATCGATTTCG